CAAGTGCCAGGGGCTGGGCTTCCCAGGTCTTCTGAGCATCAAAGACGGACCCAAACTTGCTGTTTTGTTTTGTTTTTTCTTTAACTGGAAGTGTTGTAATTTTTTGTTTGTTTTGTGAGGTTTTTGCATAACCTCACTACTGCTGATTCTTGATAAGAAATGCAAGACTAGGTAACATGGTTCAGCTCATCAGCAAGGCAGTTGTAGATATAATGAAACATCGCTGGAGTGACCTGAAACTTTCACCTAACTGGGAAAAAGCCAGGATGCCTCCACTGAGAATTTTGTTTGACTGAGACTGCCCCAAAGAGTGACTCTGTGGAGGAAGTTGCTTTTCTGTGAAGAGATGGATATTCTCTTCTCTTGCTTAGGGATAGTAGCTATGTGTCAGTCCCTGATGCTCCTTTTCAAGGTAAAGCTACAGTTGTGCTGCATCTGCTTGTTCTTTGGCTGGAGGCTTTTCTGAATTGGTTTGTTTTTTCTTTCCAAACTTAAGCAGAAAGGCATGTCAAATGCTTTTTATGACTCTCCAGCCATAAGCTGCAGGCATCTGACATCAAACCAAATGGAGACATGGGGGAAGTGGGTTTTCAGAAATAATTCCTATAAAAGCAAAGGCTGAGGCATGTGGAGCTTGATTCCCTGTAAAGTTCCCTTACTTTCCAGCATGTGCCAACTAAACAGGGAGACTTCATCTTGCTGGGTCCCAGCCAAGATCAGAGGAGTTCAGAGCAAAGCAGGGTGCAGCCTTCCTGCAAAAGGAGACTGAGCTTAGGGCTGCCTGCATGTGGTTCACAGGAAGGGAATTTCCATCCAGTTTTGTTTTTATTGACAATAGTGCAAAGTGCCAGATGAAATTATCTTTGGGTGAAGATGAGGCTAAGTCCTGCTTCATAAACACAGCATCCCAACTTGATTTTAACCTCACTGTGTCATCATTCAGGGGCCAAGCTATTCTTTCTCTGAAGTGCTGCTTCTGCCTTCAGTATTGCTTGTCTCTGTGTAGGATAATCTCCTTCTTCCTGTGTGAATTAGGAGCAGCAGCAGAGGGGCCCCTAGACCATCCTGACTCCAAACAAAACACCACTGCGAATAACCCTCTCTTCCCTCCCTACCCTGTTTTCTTTCCACTGCCACAGAACAAATGTTTTCATCTTGGAGAGTGCTTGAGTATCCAGTAACTGTGCAGAAGGAAGTTAGCACTACACATATCAAAATCCATTTCCAGGGTAGTTACCTGGGGGAAGGTAAGAGTGCTTTGCCAGGACCCAGAGGCATTAGAGAAAATATCCAGAGTGTTCTTTTTCTCAGCTGTTTGTCATCTTTTCCTAACAAGGCAAACACAACAGATTCCAATCTTATGTTTTGTTTCAGTAATCTCCCTGCTTTAACTTAAGGTGTTGTCTACAGTATGGAAATACCTTGCCAGGGCAAACCTCAAGGGAAGATGAAAGTAAGAGAGGAATTTTCCAGGTTTTTTGCAATTTGTTCTGGAGCAATTGATTGTAAATGGTTGCTAACTTGCTGGAATTAAAGAAAATTCCTGATGTAGGCAAGGCGGTAAAGAGCACTGAGTTCTTCCATACCTTTGTTGAAAACTGTTCTTTGATGCTGTAGGCTTGCAAATAACAGCTCTGTTCCACCTCAGAATTGGCCGCATTTCAGCAGCGGTGGGTGTTATGACATTCCTGCGTCTTTAAATCTGGTGTATATGCTGTTTTCCATCTAAAGATTTAGTTATTAGCTGAAATTGTAAGGATTGTGTTGTCAGTCTGTCGTATTCCAGGGAGTGTTTCCTGTTCAGGGTTGGGAATCTCTGGGCCAGCTGGAACTTGGGAAGTATTAATTTGAGCAAGTGATTCTCTGCAGAGATCTGCAGTGTGCAAGGGGGGGCCCTTCCAGAAGGTTTCTAACATTCCTGGGATTCCATGAGAGGGGTCACAGTAAAGAGAATTTCAGATTGTCATGAACAGGAACAGTCACAGCTGTGAGACTTGAAGAAAAATATTGGTTTCAACTCTATTTGAAAATCCAAAATTTACTTTAAAAAAAAAAAAAAGAAAAGTTGTTTTAGTAGAAGTTAAGTGTAATAAAGAGGATGCAAACATCCCCATTATCTTTGGAAAAGTTTCTCTACCAGTTCTCTGCCGGGCACCAGAATGTGATCAGATCTGCAGACTGCATCAGATGGAGTTACTCTGCAGGCTGAGCTGAGCTGTTCTCGTTAAGGGGAAAGCTGCTCAGTACACAATGGACCCCTCCTGAACTGGTGCAACCAGAAAGACTCATGGAGCAGTTGAAGGGGGAGGGGGTAGGATAGGGGAGATGGACAGGATGGGTATCTGATCTCCTTGCTGTTGCCAGTGTTTGGTACTCACTTCCAGCAGTACCACTGCTGGAAGACACATGAGTTCAATCTTTAAAAAGTGCTTGCATGACTATAAAAGCTAGTGTGATATTTTCAGGTGCAATGTGGGAGGTTTTTGTGCAGGTAGTATACTTCCCTTAAGGAAAGGGTGGGACTATACTGGGCCCAGTCGAACTTCTGTATATCGTTAGGTTAGAGACGTAAATTAAATGTGCCTCAGTTCCTTCAAATAACCTCAAAATGTGAAAATAAAGAAACAGACTCCCAAACTTCTGTTATGAAGGGAAGTAAAGTTAGTTTTTTGATTATATCTAGACAGGAGGGCTAGAAAAATTACTATTATAAAGGCCAGGACCTTGAATTCCTAAATATTCCTTCAGCTCCCTATGAAACCAGATATTGTCTGTGACAGGCTTGCATGAGCCCTGGCCTCATCCAGTCTACACTTCTTATGCCACAACTCGTGTGTGTGTGGGGACAGAATCACAAACAGGCTCCTGACCCTTTATCAGCCCTTAGTGCTACAAACTTGCTGGGTCTGTCTGACATGTTGATCTATTGTGATGGATTGGCGACGCTTCAGCTGAAACCAGTTGTGCTGGGCACTTTTCCTGATTGCTGTGGGTGTTTGATTGTTTATGAACATGTAGCCTCGAAAGTGCTCAGTGAGTGCCCATATGAAACCTTAAAGGCACAAGTAAATCAAAAGTATTTTTAGATTGCTGCCATCCCAAACTGCACAGCTGCTGAACATGTGTAGTTTTGTAACTGTCTGAAGCCAATTCGAGCCAGTGCTGCTGCCAAATGGTTGCCCTTGCCTGGCTTCTGTTTCTCTCCGCTCTGCCACTTGTGCACCAGTGTGGTGAGCATTGGTGGCAGCATGAGTATTGGAGCACACCAAAGGGTAGGCAGGGGAAATGTGGGACTGCTTTATTCAGCAGCAGCTTGGGTTTAAATCTCATGAGCCTGCCTATGCAATAAGGCCAGCCCAGAATTGACTTGTGGGAAAGTGAAGGATTTGAAGGCAGTGTCCTCCATGTATTTCTAAAATGCATAGAGAAACCTCTCGAAAAGCCTCTGTGCCTTGTGTCTCGTAGATGGCATCACCAGTCTAAAGGTGTTGAATCTGCAAGAAGGTGATGATTATAGGTTCTTCCTGAATTTTTGTAGCCTGCATAACTTTCTGGCAGATTTTTCTGACGTGATTTTGGCCTTTTTGGGTTGCAGGAGAGAAAATACAGGGAGCCTGAGAGAGAAAATACAGGGAGCCTGAAGTAATTTTCACTTTCTGTAGGACTCAATACTTGCCCCTTTCATATCAGTGGAATTATTGTCTCACTCTGTCCTATTCATCCATCTTAACTTCTGCCAGTGTTATTAGTGACCTGCTCCCATTTATTGGCTACCCTGCTCTGTTAATGTT